CCGATCGTCCCACCCAGGAGGTCCGTTTGGAGGTTCTGGACGTGGAGATGATCCAGTCGGCTCCGCCTTCGTCTGCGGTCTCAGTGGCCGCTGCTGGCGCGGACGATTCGGAGGCCATGGCTGCAGATTCCCAGGCTGCGTCCTGGTTGTTTGCCGACAAGGCTCCCTCGCCCACGGTCACCAGCGCCCTGGCCCTGGCCGACTACACCTGGGTTGCCCAGGAGTCTTGACTCTTGGATCTTGGTTCCATGGGCACCGGCCAGGCTGCATTAAAATTTGCACTAAAGAATTAAACGTTAATGCAGCCCGGCCCGTGGAACCAAAACCAAGAACCAAGATGCTGAAGGCTCTTGAATCGTGGATCTTGGTTCCCCGGGCACCGCCCGGGCTGCATTAAAATCTGCATTAAAACTAATTGAAATGCAGCCAGGACCGTGGAACCAAGATTCAGGATTCGAAACTCCTGGGCATCTTGGTTCTTGGTTCCACGGGCGTCCAGCTGCTCCTGGATCCAAGCCTGCAACCACGGGCCGGGCTGCATTAAATTTTAATTTTTGAATGCGGGTTTTAATGCAGCCGGGCCTCTGGTATAGCCATGTTCGTATACACTAAACTTCGTTGCATGTGTGTGCGTGTGTGTGTGTGTGCATGTGTGTGCATGGGTAATGAAGTGTGGTATCATATATGTAGACAGACAGGCTTGGAGGTAGGTCCTGGGGGGGGGGGGGTACCATATATATCTATATATATATATATATGGTACCCCCCCCTCATGTATCTACCGTTTGTCTCTTGTCCTGCTTCAGGTCACTTTGCTGCACTATGACTACAAGCAGCGTGGATCACGTTCATGGCTGCTTTCGTTTGTTGTGTTGTCTCTACTGTTTTTGTCGCTATGGGTTTGCCAGTGTTTGCGTAACGAAACACCGAAAACATTGGTTTTACCAATGATTCCAATGATTCCAATGATTTCTGGGCAATCTCCCCAGCGACCGCGGGCAGATAGATTGAAAATCATGGAAATCATTGGAATCATTGGTATTACCAATGTTTCCGGAAAGGAATCATGGAAATCATTGGTGTTTACCAATGGTTGTGACATCCATCATTCACGAAACATTGGTTTTACCAATGGTTTTGACATCCAGCCTGCACGAAACATTGGTTTTACCAATGGTTTTGACATCCGTCATTCACGAAGCATTGGTTTTACCAATGATTTTGAGATCCAGCCTGTACGAAACATTGGTTTTACCAATGGTTTTGACATCCATCATTCACGAAGCATTGGTTTTACCAATGATTTTGAGATCCAGCCTGCATCAAACATTGGTTTTACCAATGTTTATAACACCCATCATTCAGGGAACATTAGTTTTAGCAATGGTTTTGGCACTCTTGACATTCATCATGCACTAAACATTGGCTTTATCCATGTTTTCGGTGTGCTGCATAATATTGCTGATCTCATTATTGTTGTTTGTCAAATGATAAACGATTGGTACCACTCTAGGGGCATGTTACCGCATGGCTGGTTCGTGACTCCAACACTAGATTCTAGACTATCCTGTGAAAGCAAGCTATTACTATTGTTATTTACTACGATAGCAGTTACTCGTATTCGTGTTTGTAGTTGTTACTACTAGTATCATCTAGCCGGTATGTGGTACTCTTGAAGCAGTTGTGTACGTGTACGACATATTGGCGCGCAGACTGACGTGGTTCTGAGCTCAGTAGCCCTCTCTGACACAACATGGACATGATACAATGGGAGTTCGATGTTTCCGTATGGAAGAATCTACCACGCCATGTGGCGAACGACATTCTGATGCTCGTGCTCGACCATGTGCCAGAAGACCCACGCAAAGTACCATCTGCTCCAACTCATTATCCTCGTCCTTATCGCACGCTTGCAAACGGCATCTGGGCATGAATTCAGCTGACATGTGTTGTGATGTGTCAGACTCAACCTGATTGTAATGCCAGTCACAACTTTCATCAAAGGCACCGTGGTTTGGAGATGCAAGGACATCTGTTTCTCCATGGACGCAGACGGCGACGATGTGCCTCTCACCGAGTTTGAATACGCCTTGCTTCTGAAAGATCTCACCAAGTGAGCTCAGACTGATGCCCTTTGGCGATTGTGAGAGTGCATCTAGCTAAGTTCGAATATGCCTTGCTGTTGAAAGAACTCACGCAGTGAACTCAGACTGTTACACTTTCGCGAATGCGAAAAGACAGCTGTGCGCATGCATTGTGTCTGCACTATGAGTGGCGTGGCGTGGTGTGCATATTCATGCATTATGCCATGGTGTCCTACCACCGAAGCAGTGAGGATTTCGAACAGTTAGCAACAAGTAGCAATCCCTTTAGCTTCATCAGAACCCATGGCGGCTCGTGATGGTAACACGGACTGCACGACAGGCATCAACGCAACCCGCGGCATGCACCTATCCAGGCCGCTTCCATATGCAGTATGGTCAGACCAGGCCTGCGGCGGTGTCAGTATTCCAGATCTTCCCATGACTGCCCTTCCAGACAAGTGCATGGTCAAGCACTTTGTTGATGTCATCATGGATGTACCGCCACCCAACAAGCAGATGATCGAGTCTGTCGTCAACCAAGGAAAATGGCCTCAAGCTCCTGCTCCGTTCTGTCCCAAGACTGTCATGGATGTCAAGCTTATTACCCAATTCGTAGTTCTCCCGCAAGACAACGGTAACATGTGCGTCTTGAAGCATGTGCAAGCTCCTGACGTGAAGCTGACAAGGGACGTGATAGACAAACTTTGCTACGGAGTCTATGGCATAAAATGGCAAGGCCACAACGTCTATGACTTCAAGAAAGGGTTTCAATGGTTTCTTGAACAGCTGGGAGGTTGGCAATGCAGGTTCTTCGGCCTTTCTCCCACGTACGCACATCAGCAAAAGAGCTCAGGTGGTGGTTTCCATTTGGGAGATCTGAGTGAAGAAGACATCGACAAGGGGTTCGCCTTCATCGAGCAGGAGGCGGCCCACCTCGCCAGTGAGTACAAAAGGGTTCAGTGGATCACGGAGCCTGAACATCAACGCGGATTCACCAATCTATCAATGGCCCGTCGGAGTGGTTGAAAATCGCTTCGGGCTATCCAAACAGATGGTGTTCTTTCCCTGCCCATAGAGGACTTCTACCTTAGTCTCGCAGACCTGGAATTTGACGCGCTGCATTTTGGCATCAACCAAATCATTAAGAGCATGACTACCCGAGTTGCAGGCATCGTGGGTGGGCCAGGTAGCGGGAAGACGCCACTGGCAAGGATCTTGGCTTTGTGCGCTTCTCGCTATTGGAAACGTCAACTTTCCCTGACATCACCGCCTTCTTTTCGCGAAGCCTCTGAATTTGACTTCTTCCGCGGACAACCTGGCCGCAAGGATCGCCCAGACATACATGACGATGGGCGCCTTGCTGAGGAGCCGATTCGCAAGATGAAAGGCTTCAGAGATGTAGGCTGCACGATGTTGACTAAGGAACGTTGGGGGGCAGCCAAGTTCGTGCAGGGTCAGTTTCGGGTGTTTGTCTGTAACGACTACGACACCACAGCTTGGGTGGAAGCCCACAAGGACCTGGTGTCTGGAACTATTTCTCACATGCCCCATGAAGACTTCCTGAAGGTGATCCGCCCTGTCTTTCCCAACGAAACACCTCCACCACACATCATGGCGGTTTTGAAGCGTGCAAACATCTTGGTGAACATCGGCAAGCTCCTGGTTTTCAGGGAGGCAGGCCAGCATGAAAAGTCCGTGCCTGGTCTCTCGATGGAAAGTCATGTGGACTACCTCAAGCTTGATGGACAGCAAAAGTACCACCAGTATCTCCACGGCAAGCTTTCCAAACCTTCGTCTTACGAGAAGGACGTGGAATGGGAGGCGAGCTATGTGGATGCACTCCTCAATGGCAAAACATTGCCAAAGCCCAAACCAACAATCCGAAATGCAGATGCCGTTCGTCGTCTCTTTCGTGGTGTAAGCCCTCGTCGTGAAGTGTCGCCCCCTCGCAACTTGCCAGCACCATCTACTTCAGCAAACTCATCAAGGGTGGCACCTCCCTTCCCAGAGGCGGTCGCTGTGAAGCAAGAGTCTTTCCAGTTTCGCAGAGCTTTGACTGGTCTCACCGGCCAGTGTATCGACCTTTGCTCTCCCCCCAAGAAGGCTTCCAAGACGGCAATTACTTCGGACGTGAAGGCGGAAATGCCCGAAGAGGTCACTTCCAATGCAGCATGTGTTGTCGATCTTCATGCTGAGCCCGTTGGCATCCACAGTCCCTCCCATTCTGACCCTGTCCCTGCGGAGGCATCGGCTGCGCTTGTCCTTTCTCCAGGCAGCCAAATGGATGTCGCGAGTGATGTAGTCGACCCCATGGACGACTTGGATGCAGAATTGGAAAGGTACATGGAGGAAGACTAGGAGTTCTGATCCTCAATATCGCAGACTGGTCGCCTACTACAAGATCTGATGCCATGAAGCTCACATGTTCATACCTTCTCAAAGCTGTTATTCAGGGGGTTACTCCCGCAACAGTACATTCGTCTCCACAGTACATGTTTTAGTTCCCATATGAAGTCTACCCATGTAGAGTGGTGTCGCAATGTTGCAAATTTGTATGTACCTATTTACATATTCGGTTATATTTTCTAGGATTATGACTCTACATATACCTATATATCTATAAGTTGTATTTATACCATAACACACGCATCCACACTCACTGTCGTAGTCGTCCACTCTTACATGAAACACACCGTGTAGTGCTGTTCGGGAGGTTTTGATGCCATGATGCAGTTCGCTAGAGTCCGCTACAGTGCTGGAAAAACAAGGCCGTCCAAATCGTCTCTATCTTGCATTTCTCAGTGCCCGCGCCCAATGCATTGCATGGCAACCGTTGCTTCATCAATCATGTCAGTTTTGGCTCGGTTGTGCAGTAGTCTTGTTCGTAGCACCAACATCTTCCACCGGGCATACAACATGGGCAAGAGTGCTCCTTCTGTTGTCGTTGCCAAAAAAGGCAAGATGCGCCTGGTCCAGAAGCGGCCGGCCATCATGAAGTCTAGCCTGTGGAAAAACCTTGCTTACACGAGGGACAAAAACGGAGTCCAACCACGCGGGCAACGCAAGGATCAGATCAAATGGAAGAGGACTTTGCCAGAACTCATCAAGGCATCCGACTCCCACATCATTCGCATCCTCATTGCAGACAAGTTGCTGCCCAAATCTGTTGCCAGGGAACCCTTTCGAAGCTCAAGGTGGAAGGACGCAGTGGTCAACTCAAGCATCGTTGCGGTCGCAAGGCGTGTCAGCTATGGATGAACCCGCATCACCTACACCCTCTTTTCACAGAAGGGCAAGGTCTCCAATCACAACTTCTACAGTCCCAAGCCGCTCTGCTGCTTCTCAAGCTCCACAGAGTTCCGCAAAGCATTATCCACATGCTCTTGAACGTGAACCACAAAGCCATTGAGGATGTGGAGCGCAAACTTTGCAAACTCCGGCAAGAGCACGTGGAAAGCAAGGAGAAGGCTATCCAATTCGGCAATGGCAAATCATGGGTTGATGTAGAAGCGGATGAAGCGACTTTTGACAAAAGGGACATTTCGAATTGCTTGGAATTCAAGCACCTCATCCAGTCGCCTAACGCCACCATCATGTGGGAGCAGTGGGCGGGGATCGTGCAGCGCGGCAGGCCCGAAACCTTGATCCTCTACAAGTTGCAGCCGAAAATCACAGTGAAGCGAGCCCCTGGGCCCGGTGCCATTCGAAGGATCGAATGGAAGGGCTTGGCGGCGAAGTGGCTCATGAATCGCAAGGTCGTGTTGCACACAGATTCCGCCAAAAGTTACAAGCTGAAGGTTTTTGGCGTGCTGCATGACCGCGTTGTCCACTGCAAGAACAGGGTCAAGATTCAGGGCAAATGGACGTGGCGGGCACCACACTATGTGCGCATTGTGAAGCACACGCTCCCCGGCGGTAAGGGTAAGACTTTGAATGTCAAATCAGGCACGCAGATCATAGATCGGTGCTGGCGATTCTTGAAGGAGCGTGTTCGCGTCAATCAGCACACAAAGTGTGGCAGTGCATTGCTTCGAGCCAAGCTCAGAAGCGCCCAGTACGAATACTGGCACCGCACTGACGATTTGTGGGTGGCCACCGGACATCTCTGCCAGGACTCCATGAAGAAATTCATGTCGTGAGTCCATTTACCCCGCATCTTCTCATTCGCGCTGGTCGTGAGTCCATTTACCCCGCATCTTCTCATTCGCGTTGTGGTCTGGAAAACATGCTCATATCTGCTGTATGCACATGCTCACGATGCGAAATCAGGTCAGCAGTGCGTGGATCCACTGCATCTACACAGCCCATTTGGACCAGCCATACAGTACATACCCACTTCGGAATCACAGTGTTACCATCACAGAGCCGCCTCCCGTATCAGTTAAAGACTAGAAGCAAACAAAGTGTAGCACCAACATGATGCCAACACAGACAAACAGTAGATACATGAGGGGGGGTAGCATATATATATATATGTATATGTATATGCACTTCTTTGTCCATATATATGTGTAAACACATGCACCTGTACATATATACAGATATATGCACTCGTACATATATGCACATACTTACATGTGTGTATATATGTATGTATAACGTTTACAAATATATATATATATGTATATCTTTTTGTATATATCTACACTTGCATACACATATATACACGTATATATACACACATGTACAAATTTACATTTGTACTGTTTAACATGCATACGTATGTATGCACGTATGTATGCTTATATGTTCGTATATATATATATATACACATACATATATATATATACATATATGCAGGTGTGTCGTGTATATAATATATGTATGTTCATGTACATGTACATGTATATGTATTCGTATACGTACACGTATACGTCGGTCTTGGTCTAGGTCTGAGGTCTAAGCTGGGTCAGGTCTATGTGTATGTGTATTTCCATTTGTATGTACATATCTGCTGCCCAAGCTTCGTCTATGCTGCAAAGGTCCTGGAAGCGGACAGGATCAACAAATGGACGAAGGACTCCATTGAGCAATCAACCAGTCATGCATCACAATGTGGTGCAGCGATAGTTGCGTTACGATATTTCTGCAGCTGTTGCAAATATCTCGTGTCCATATTGCTGCATTGCAGCGATTACAGTATAAGCTGCTGCTCGGAGGTCGTCTGTATGGGTTTCGCAGGGGACAGCAGAGTCAAAACGGTCCTGTGATGTAAAGGTCCAAGTTACATGCGCTCACACATAGGATGGAAAGAACTACACATATTGGCAGAAGTGCTTCTCAGCTTTCCACTTGCTTCTGACACATCTGACACTTCCCAGTAAGGCATCTTTTCTGTACACTTGCTGGGAGAGTTGTCTCAGTTCTTGTGTAGCTGGTCATAGCTAGCATATGTACGCACTTTCTCGGCAACCCTTGCACGCAACAGAGTTCGAGAACCGCTTCGTCATGCGAACAGCAGCAGCATCTCTTTTTTCTTAGTGCTACTGTCGGGGGTCGGCCCGTGTCGGGCCGGGTTGAAAGGAAACACAGGGATCGGTGCGCGAAAGTGGCAATGTGCCTTGCATGCTGGCACGTGCTGCTTGCTCTCCTGGCAAGTAAATCTGTGCTATCGTCAAAAAGGGGGGTGCAGGGCTGCGCCAGTGAAAATCGGTCGAAAGGATCTGGGATCCGTGGGCCAGCATCTTGGCCCTGGTCTGGCCTCGACTCTGCGCGGGGCCCTGTACACACCAAAAGCGGGCTCTTCTTTCTTTCTGGGCTTTCGGAAGGACTTGTGGTCGGGCCCAAGCTGCCCCTGAGAACTATTTGGCAGACGCACAGGACATGATAAAAGCTTTTGCTGAAGCACGAAGCCTCGCGAAACGAAGCCGCAAGGATAGCCAGGCGATCATCATGGATTCTCGCGAAGGGCCAGCCTTCGTGGACTACCCTGAGATGGACCTGTCGGGGCCATTTCTCCGGCGCTGCGGTTTCGCTCTTGTACATGCGAGGAGGACATGGAGTTTGGCCTCCATCCGGGTGAAATGAATGAGAAGGCATGCCCGACAAGTCTGCCGACTATATCATTGAACAAGCATGCAGGCGCGAGCTCAAAAGGCCAAACTGCGAGAAAAAGATGCGTTCATCTCAGGAATGCTTTTTTATTTAGTTCACAAGTGCATGTATGCTGTTTGGGTGCATGCTCACAACGCTTCACTGCATCCCGTGCTACCGCAGGTGCTGAAATCGCGAATCCAGGCGATGCCCACTCCGAGAGAGGATGATATGACGAATCAGTTAGCTGTGGAGAGTTGAAATGAGATTCTTCAGTCGCTTTTGCTTGTAGTCCATTTTCTGGTAGACGGAGATCACGCGCAATGCTGCGTCGGCAATTCATGTTTCCACCTTGCAGTTGCAAAGCTCCTGCGATCGGCCTGTCTCAATGGGCCATGCTGTGCCAACGAAGCACACGCCTGTGTTGACGGTTGGTGGATGTTGGTGGATGGGGGAGTTGACGATTGTTTTGTGTTTGGCAAGTCAAGCATTTCATGTATGTCATTCTCGGAGGAGTGTACCCCCGTTCAATAAAAGCGCATTGTCGATATTTGCTACGTTGAGACGAAACCTCTGCCAAGTGGCAAAACGTGAGCTGTCTTGAACGGACTCTTGCTTTACGGTCTCGGTTCTGTCGCGGCATGTAGGTGTGAAATGATGATCTGGCGAGCACCCAAAGCCGTTAGGCTCCCTCATGAAATCAAGCTACACATGTTGCATGCCCTGGTATGATGAGTGAGTGTTCGCATGCAATAAACATTATTAAAGGGTAAGAAGCAGCGTTATCCATGCAGCTATGCAGCAAGCACATGATTTGTGCTTCATGTCTTCCACGGTCATCCGGCAGCTTGCATGTTCCATGGAATGCTGATGTCAGTTGGTCAGCGACAGTTTGCGACACAGCAGTTGTCACCATGTTGTCACCTTATCTTTGCATCCCGACCCGTCCCAGCGTTCACGCTGCTGAGGGCTGGCAGAGCGTGATGAGCCTGCAAAGTCGCAACAAGAAGTTGCTGGCTGAGTTTGTGCGGTCGTGTGTGCAATTTTGACATGCGCTGTGGTGACCTCCGTGAACTCTTGACGAAGACTGCATCGTCTGCCACAGGACCCAAGCCCTCGCAGATGAGCAAGCTACACAGCAATTTCTGCAGAGCCCTCGGGGCATGAAAGTTCGGAAGCGCCGTCCTGCCTCCAAATGACCCTTGCAGCCACCGTTACGCGAGGAAGGAGTACCTTATCAACAAGAACTTAGATGACCTAGACTTGGAAGAGGAGGCCATGTGATGTTCGAGTTGCAGCTTTGGTTCTGGCATGTTTTTGTGATTATCCCAGCAACATTGCAATGCCGTCTGGGTGCAGGTAGTCCCATCTCGCGCAGACGAAGTGCGCAATGCTGTGAAACGCTCATTCTTGACAATAGAGCGGCTTCTCGCCGCTGGTCATGTGCCCACTGCAGGTTCGAAACAGCGATGCGGGAAGTGGAACCGTCAAACACCTGAAGGTCAGCCAAGGGGCGAATACTAATTTGCACTCTGCTTTTTGGTTTGTGACGCGTGAAGACCGTCAAGTGGGCAAGAACAGGCCTCTGGGCGTTCGAAGGAAGGAGCCGCGGTTGTCATCAGCGAGCCTCGACCCAAAAGCGCTCGATGGGGCCGTGAGGGCGCCATAATGGTTAGTGCAGTGCTTCGAATTCATGCTCCCGAGTGTGAGGTCAGTTCCGGCTGCCCAAGCTAGGCTAAGCTTTGCCTTGCAGTGTGTATCCGATCCATCCGTGGATCCCTGGATGCGCGGCAGGGATCCGCTTGAGCTGGAGGAGGAACGGACGCGCTTGGTCAACGAGGCGGTGAATTGTTTTTTGTTGGAGGTTAGTTGGCTGGCTAGCCAAGGACGGTATGGGTACAAGTAGCATCCACTTTCTTCAGATCTGCGGCCCGAGAACACGGACTGACGTTCGTGCATGGATCGAGAAAATCATTGCGATCGAGCAGACGCAGGCCGGCAAGCACAGCTGCTCTGACGCCGACACAGAGTGTGTGCTCACTCAGGTCCCCGAGAAGAAGAGGATCTTTGAAAGCTCTTGAAGGGTTTCTTCTCCATTCCCTTTGGTGTGCAGGAAGAGAAAGATGAGGGCTAACGGGAGCGAAAGTGGCATGAGTGGACAGACGCTTGCATGAATTGGTCCCCATTGCTCTTGCCTGCTACAAGCTGTTTCGAGAGCAAGGACTGGGTACACGGCGTACACAGGAGTCACGGGTACCACGGCTGGGATCTGAGAGTTGTGGTGCAAGGAGGTGTCGGCGGCTTCCTTTCATCGCCCGCAGACGTCCGACATGTTGTTGCTGCCTGCCACCTTAGATTGCCTGATTGGTTGCCTTTCCAGCAAGAACCTCGATGCAGATTCATTTTGTACTGTTTCATGGTCAATGGTGGGTGCATGAGGAGGTATGCATGTCTCGACTATAAAAAGAAGCTGGTCTACCTCGAGTAGATGTTTCCATGTTGTGTTCTGGGTGCTGCGACTTGTCTCTCCCACAATTCAGCCTCGTTCCCAGCATGGTTTCATGATCTGGCCGTATGGCCGCCTGGCCCCGCGTGGCGTTTGGTGGGATACCCTGTGCCTTCTCAGGCCACAGCTCTTCACACCGTCGGAGGCGATCTGAAATGCAAAGGGCTAGGTTTGGCAGATTTGCGTAGGTGCACAGGTTACTGCAGCATCTGGAGCTACAGCAGGCAGCATAGCTGGCCGAAGTCATCGACCGAAGTCCCTGGATTCAGACGAGAGCGAGGGTCTCAGCCATTGGGGAGTTGTGCCGCGCAAACTCGGTGCTTTGTGGACTGGCGGTGTCTTCCAGCTCAGGCCTCGTCGTGCACCACAGCAAAGGTGACGAGCCTCTGTCGGTCAAGGAGCGTGTTCAGGACGGCAGCTGCCGTGCATACGGGCCCCGGTGCTGCTCGACTTTGTTTCTGCTTGGCGTGGCTCGGCAGGTGTTGTTTTGTTTCTTTAAGGTGCGACTTGGCTTGGCTTGGGCCCTGATCAAGCCGCAATCAAGCCTACAAGCCAAGCTGGGCCAAGCCCAGACGAGCCAAGCCGCATCTAAGAAGACATAAACCTGCAGAGCCACGGCGGAAGTTTTTGTTTTGTTGGGTGCGGCTCAGTTTCTTTCTTAGATCTTGGATGCGGGACCGCTTTGGTTCGGCTTGGCTTTTTTGTTGGTGTTTGTCCTAGTGCAGCTCAGTGTTGTTTTAGTTGGGGTGCGGCTTAGCTTGGGTCGGGCAGTTAGACAAAGAGCGAAAGGGAGAGGGAGAGGGAAACGCATGGGATAGAAAGGGAAGCGCAGGCGCATGCAGGCGCCGTGTCCGAGATGATCTGACCTTTAACGTCAGGTGTCCTGGGAGTGAAGCTTTTTTTGGACCTCACGGCTGCATGTCATTTTCGCCTATTTATTTTTTGCTGCTGCTGCTGTGCTCGGGGACGTCACACGCATGCTGACGATGAGTGGTGGAACAGATGATCTCGAGGGAAACACGCCCTTTTGTCTGAACATGTTTGCATCGTTGGTACAGTTGGTGTTTCTGTCCTAGAGCCATGTCTGCGACGAGCTTACGGCTTACGTTTTACATCCGTAGGAATGGACTATTGTTAGGTTGTGTAGTGCGCACCGACCTCCGGTACGTTCGCTTTGGCCTACCGCTCCTCCAACAAGCTCGTGCATGACAAGGGCGGGCGATTGGCCTGGGCTTAAGTCACGAAGCTCACCCCTCCGAAACGCACGCAGGGCCTGGACAGCCCGTAGTCCCGACAGAGAGAGAGAGCGACAGCAGGTTAACCCCCACCGTCCCCCAGCCCTGGCAAAAGACAGAAAGAGGGAGAGAGCCAGCCCAGCCCCTCTAAGTCTTGCCCCGGAGCAGAGCAAAGAGAGAGAGAGAGAGAGAGTAGCCATTTTGGCTCAAGGCCATGAGTGCTCAAGGCCCGAGCCACGTATCTAAGAGAGAGAGGGCCTGAAACAAAGGGCTCACTCCGAGAGCAGAGCGCCGAGCCGTCTGCGTGCATAAGTTGCGAGCTCAACTACATCCCCGCTGTCCTTTGCGTGTTCACCATCCGAGTTGTGTCGGGGGACCTGGGGAAGTTTGCTCCTGTACGGTGGCCTTGCGCTGAACCTTGGGGACATCCTCAGCACCACCGCGAAGGCCATCGGCGGCCTACAGGTGTCCATCACTGCCGCAAGGATCCTCCGCCAGATCTAGGCTGGGAGACCTGGTTCCTCTACACTGGACGGGGGATTACGAACACGTCACGATCGAACACTTTCTGCTACACGGCGACCTCGCAAACTTCCACTCCGACGAGATGGCGACTCCCAGTGATGCAAGCAGACCCGGAGGGGGAGATCACGGAAGTGATGGAGCTCCACCACAGTCCACCCCGAAGCGAGCACGAGAGAGGACTGAGGCCGCAGAGGACCCGGGGGAACAGCCGCTGACACTAGCTCTACTCCAACAAGCCCTCCAGGTCAACCAACAACAGATCACCCACTCCCTGCACGAGTCGCTGGAGGGGATCGGCAGACGAGTTGAAAACCTGGAGACCAACTTCGAGCACCACGTCGAGAGAACCACACAACTCCTGGGGGCGATGACGGACCGCCACTGCGACATAGAACATACCGTGAAGAAAGTCGACCAGTCTTATGAAGATGTACGACGACGCCTAGAGCTGCTGGAGGGTAAGTTTGCCACCGCAACCTTCTCCACCACCACCAACACAAGCCTACGTACTACTGAAACCGGGGGACAAGACTCCTCACGACCCGCCGTCATCATGGGGGGATGGGACGCCGACCAAAGTGCGAGTGAAACCCTCCGGCTCGTAAAGCAGCACATCGCGGAGCTCCGCATAGACATCGACATTGACGATGCGTTCGTCCCAGGTGTCAGACGAGGCTTCGCTATAGTACCCATCGCAGCCAGAGCCGGCGAGAGCCAGGGGGATTTCCGTGCTCGTATCCGCAACGCCCTCAAGGAAATCCGCGAGTCGAAGGTCATCACAGGCCAGCGTCCTGAAGGCGGAGATCGCCACTTCTGGGCCGCGATGAGCGAGAGCCCGGAGCGACGGAAGCGCGCCCAGTTTGCGGGGAAAATCAAGAGGCTCATCCTTGAAATGCAGGGGGACAAGAACCAACTGGACGTCGAGTTTGGCACTGGCAACGTATGGTACAGCAGTGTCAAGATCGCATCGGCTACCACAACACCACCGGCCGGAGCAGAGACAACTGGCGTCGGCTGGGTCCTTCTGAACACACTTGCCAGACAGATGGGGACCAGCCTCAGCGCCCTGTCGGACAAGTGGGGGGAGCTCAGGCGCCCCCTGGAGTGACTCGAGGAGACAGCACCGTATCACCCTCGGGAACAACCAAAGAAGGAGCCTGGGGAACTGCATGTGATCTCGTGGAATGTAGGGGGACTCACACCCGACAGAGTCCTTCGCCTTCTTCGTGACCTTCGAGCTGAACGAATTCATCCTTTTCACGCGACCTTCGTTCATTTTTTCTCGAAGAGATCATAGTGGACGAGGGCAAGTACACACACGAGCTGGACGAGATCCAAATGATCACGGGCAAACAAGCAACAGATTGGCGAGGGACGGGGATCGCCCACACCGCCGACATTCAACACAATCGTCACAAACTCCTTCAGAATGCGAACTGCGCTGTGATCAATACTCATGGAATTCGCATCATTGGGATCTCTGGTCATATACCACATCACTGCACCGTGAGTGACTGCTGTGGCATCCTGGAGTCTTGGAAGCAGCACATCCAGGGGGATCGAAAAGTTGTCATTGGAGTGGACGCCAACGAGACCTTCAGAGCTGGACACGAAGATGACGTACTCTCTGATTCAGCAAGAGGCGAACTCATCCTGACATGGTGGACAGCACTGGACGGGGACATCCCGCCACAAAAGCTGGAGAAACCTTCGCACTTTCCCTACAACCAGCGAATGCACCCACGCCGCCTCGACTACACCTTCACGCGGGGAATGACCACCATCGAGGGCAACGTGGGGGACGTCCGCCACCTCGCCACCAGCGACCACGAGCCAACATGGGTGTCATGCCGCATCCAGGCAGAACGAACCAAGCCGCCGAAGCGAGAGAAGCCCTGGGGCTGTCGCCAATTGCGAGATGTCAAGTTCGTCGAGAAGGTCCTGACTACCGCTCCTCGCACTTCGGGAGATCCCCTCATGCAGCTCCGCGACATATCCGTGGCCGTCACCAAGCCAGGCCGGGGGATCCGGGGATTCCGAGAAAGTGAAGAGTTGAAGACCAGACGGCAGACAATTATTCGTATGATCCCGGGGGATGAGCAGAGACGCCAGTGGAAGGAAATCCTCAAACTTCGTCGCCAAGAGCACCGATCCTGGAAACAGACTATGCGCGAGAAGGCGGGGAAAGGCTTCTGGCACTCCAAAAAAGTCGTTGACAGCGATGGCCACACATCAGCCTGGGAACTACAGCTACAAGACGACGAGCGATGGCGTGAAACCCTGCATAAGCACTTCAGCGACATCTTCGGAAGACGAGCCCGACCTGAAGTTGACCAAAGGCTACAGGAGATCACCCGAAAGCTCACAGCACTGTGCAAACACGCGACCTGGCGCCCCTTCGACGAAACCGAGCTGAAAGCGGTACGAAAAAGATGGAAAAATGGGACGTCCTGTGGCCTGGACAGCATCGCCAACGAAGCCCTCAAAGCACTCTCCAAACACGACTACTGGCGGCAGAAGCTCTTGTACTTCCTCAACGACCTGCTGTATGTGGGGAAACTCCCACAAGGCCTCGAAGCTGGAGTCACAGTCTTGTTGGCGAAAAGCCCGACCCCCCGCACTTGGGGGGAAACAAGACCCATCACGCTGAGTTCCACGTTGCTCAAGACATTCTCACAGCTGATCATTCACAGGACAGCCCACCTTGTGCAAGGCCCTTCAAGGTTACAATGGTCGCGACGCCATCGGCAAGGAGTCGAACTCATTATGATGCTTCGAAAAGTTTGCAGAACAGCACATGACTGGGGGATCCCCATGTACATCGCTAAATTGGACATACGTAAAGCTTTCGACTCCATCTACCAGGAAGCCCTCGCCGAGCAGATTGCCAAGGATGTGGGGGAAGAAGGGGGAGCGCCATGGGAGGCCAGAGCATGGGTGCAGCTTCTACATGCCCGTGAAGTCACCATCCACTTTCGCGGGGAAAACTTCGTGGTGGACCAGACCA